TAAATGAAAGGGAGAAGTTCACACAGGACAACTGGAAAGAACAAGTGTACATTTTGAAAAAGCAAAATTACTTTTGTTGCGATACTCTAAAATTGCAAAAGCATCCGTCTTGAGTACTGGGGAATTAACCGTGATTTGTTGAGTAAGCAGATAAACCTTAGTAATTATTTGTCCCAGTATATTAAAGAAACATCTAATATATTAAAATGATAAACTCTTTTGTGTATAGGTGTGCATGCACATTTACACATGTGTGCGTACACATGAATATGGGTACACATGAGCATGTATATATATGTGTGTGTGAAAGGCAGAGATTGAGGCTGGGTATCATCCTCGGTCCCTCTGCACTTTATTCATTGAGATCTCTCCCTAAACCCAGTGCTCCAGTACTTTAGCCAGTTAGCTTGCCCCTAAGATTTCCTTGTCTTCCTTTAAGATTATTATTAAAGTAAATTTAATTTTTTCCTTGGATCATATAAATATAATCTTGGAATTACTAACACACCATATGTACTCAGTTTTTAATATGGATGCTGAGTATCTAAATTCTGGTCCTCAAGTTTGGGGGCAAGCACTTTATCTATTGAGCCATCTCCCCAGCCACCAGTTAACTCATCTTTATATTTCTAAGTATTGCATATTTGATGTTCTTATGTTCTTCAAGTGCAAGCATTTTCCCCTACAGGGTGTCAGTCCTAAATAGCTAAGCTCATCATGTAAATCAGTTAATGGCTCAGTTATCAGACTAAGGTGTTTGTGTGGCTTATGATGATGTAGGTGGGATTAGATGCTCCTGGCTGAAGTATGAGTGTTTTAAAACATGCACCAGCTAAGAAAAAGCCATCGCTGATAATGCGTTTTCTTTCTTATAACTAGGCTTGAATTCTGTGTGAGCAGCTCGGTGTTAAGAGTGCTTGCTTATCATGTTCAAGGACCTGTGTTCAATCCCTAATACTGAAAATGAAAGGAAACAAATTCTTCATAGGTGTACGTGCATTTTTCTCAGTAGTCATAATCACCCACATGTGAATTAATTGAAGAGTATATTTGAGTTTTAGAAAAACCTTTTGAAAAATACTCATGTGGAGAGGTGATAGAGGAGAGGCAGAGAAATTGCTGTCAAGTGTGGAAGAAAATTACAAAGTATGTGATCTGAAAGGGTACAGACAATTAATAAAAATGTTAATCAGAATCCATTGATAGGCACTGGCATTGGAGGTATTTTGATTACTAAGTAGAACCTTTAATTCTGTCCAAAGTAGAAATACGTTTTGAACAGTTTCACTGTAGGAGTTTATCTAGGTTATGCTAATTGATGCCATGGCATTTTATATGGACCATATTGGAGGGACTGTCCAGCTGTTCTTGCTAGACCATCATGCATTCAGCTTGTGGTTTCCTGTGAGTGTACTCTGGCAGTACACACACACATACACACACACACACACACACACACACACACACACACACACACACACACACACTTGCAGGAAATCAGCTGGCTTCTCCATCATTAGCAGAGATGGAGAAGTGTAGATATTATCAACTGTACATGGATGTTCCATGAACAGGGTGCTGATTCACATGTCTCTTGTTACTTCTGATGAATTGAATTGTTAAGTCTGCTCTGCTGTGAATGACCTGAATAGCTGTATTAATTCCACTTTCATTCTGTTTAACATTACAATAAGTTTAAGGATGGCATTACTTTCTTTTGAAATACTAAGAGAAATGTAGAAGGAATAGAGAAGAGTGTGCTTGCTTTCTGAGAACAGCCAGAGAAGGTTAAACATGGAACTCTGATAGATGCCAAACTGCCAGTTAAAAGTAGCTATGATGTTGCCTCTGATACTGGGATACATGATGCATTTGAAAGCCAAAGGCTTACAAACTGCTTACATAGTAACTGTGAAAGATAGATGATGTGGAAACAATGTATAGGGCAATAGTTAAGAGGATAAAGCCTTTGAATGAAAACAGATACTTAAGGTATCACACATTAGCAGATTATCCTCCGCACAAGCTTCTTATCCTCTCTGAATTATAGTAGTTCTCTAATAGTAATGTTGTTACCTAGGCAATTATTTGAATATTAAATATGATAATACCTGTAAAAGAAGCATGCCTACAAATAGAAATTGCCCAATTTGTGCTATTACATTTGTGCAATTTTAAGAAGTATAAATCTAGTTAGCATTTTTAAGGTGGAACCTAAAATAGTGGAATTACTCTTATGTTCAGATAATGGGAGAAATACAGGATTTCGGTGGGTTTTAACAGCTGAGTTGTAAAGACAGTATTTTCCTAGGGACTTAAAGGAAACAAATGATAAATCATACAGTGTAGATACTGTCTTTTTGATGATTCTGATTACATACTCAATTTCAAAACTTAAATATTTCCTCATTCTTCTGATGTATTTTTTTTTCTTTCTAAGCCCAGATTTCCTTGGAAACTGTGATCATGAATCTATGATTCACCTGTCCCCTCCTGAGTCCCCCAGACTCCTCTGATTAGTCCAGGTACTCAGACACGTTCCAGCCTCTCCCTTGTCACCTCTGCTTTTCTAGTCTTTGGTAGAAGTGTATGCACCAGTTATTAAAGGGCTCAGGCCAGTAAGGGCCTTAAATACATCATCTGAAGCTATGACTCTCTGAATTCATCTTTGCTGCTGTTTCTCAGAAATCCCCTCTCCAGGAGGTCTGCTAGATCAGATCCATTTTCTCTGTTCCTGAACGCCCCTCACAGCTTTCTCCACTGTACTCTAGGCTGCAGAGTCAAATCTCTCCTGCTTATGGGATTTCAGAAAAGTCAAATCGTGTTAGGTTTTTCAGAATCAGGGAATTTTACCTGAAATCCATTTTTCTTCTCTTGGTGGGAAGAGAGAGAAGAAAGTGGGGAGAGGAGGAGAAGGGGAGGTAGAGAAGGGGAGGAGGGAGAGAGGGACAGGCAGTTAGGCAGGAACACAGACAGATTGACAGACTGACAGAGACACCCTAGAATTTCCCACAGGACACAGGGCTGCAAGGGGATTTGCGGGGGAGGGATGCCGTGCACTGCTGTTCCATGCCTTCACTCTTTGACACTTTGTGTCCCTGCACTGGGCACAGGTCATAGAAAGATAACCATAATGTTGCAGAATATTCACTTACACTATGTTATGATGTGTCACTGTGATTGGTTTAATAAAGAACTGAATGGCCAATAGCTAGACAGGAAGAGCTTAGGCGAGACTTCTGGGGACAGATAGAGATCAGGGAAGAAGAAAGGCAGAGTCGCCAGCCAGATGTTGAAGAAGCAAGATGGGCAGTACAGAGTAAAGGTAACTGAGCCACGTCATAGAACGCAGATTAAAAGACATGGGTTAATTTAAGTTATAAGAGCTACTTAGAAACAAGCCTAAGCTATAGGTTGAGCTTTCATAATAAGTCTGTGTGGTTTTTTTTTTGGTTTTTTTTTGGGTGTGTGTGTGTGTGTGTGTGTGTGTGTGAGAGAGAGAGAGAGAGAGAGAGAGAGAGAGAGAGAGAGAGAGAGAGAGAGAGAGAGAGAGAGAGAGAGCTGGTGGCCCAAAGAAAAATCTGGCTACACCATAATGCTTCTTACTGTGCTGCTCTTGACCTCTCTCAAGCCCAGTGGCTCTGGAGCAGAAGACATTCTCCTTATGGATATTTGATAATGTATGTAGATGCTCTGTTACTAGGTGCTGCTGCAGTCTTGTGGATAGACATTGGTGAGTGGGTGAGTGGATGGGGGTATGCTTCAAGGTACAGCATGGTTCCCAAGGAAGAATTACCTGCTCTGATTGGCAGTTCTGCTGAGTTTAAGGAAAGACTCATTATCTTAGCTCATTCCTGATTATACTGCCTGCATCCTGTACGTCTCATGACTCTGAGTATATCCATATTCCCTCAGTATTCACAGTGGATTCTTAGTTGTCAGCCACATCTACTTTTACCTATACTCACTTTGGGTCATATTTCCAGGGCCCTGGTTTTTAAAATCCTACTTAGCAATTCTGTTAGTACATCCATGGAACAATTTTTGATGGCATTTTATCACACTATTCTATAAAAATTATTTTACTAGAAGTGGAAGCCTTCTTAGAAAAAGAGTATTTTACTATATTCTCCCTGGGGCCCTTCATCCAACATAGGAAAGCGGATGTAGAGGAGTCTTAGGAATAGTCTGGGTTTCCTCAGCACTCCCTGCCACCCTGACCTCCTGCAGCGTCCTGGGCCTGATACATGATCAGTTACTGGATATGCAGAAAGCTTTTTTTTACATTCTTTTTGGTTGAATCAGTGTTTTAATCTGAGCTAGACTTTTATGGGTATGAGGACAGAAACAGGACCTCCTGGTATTGGTTCTGCTATCTCTGCAGCCCAAGCCTCTGGAAGCCTTTTGACTGCCAGCTCTACTCACGGTGGGCAGGACGTAGTGCCATAAATGAGAAAATGGGAGGAGGGCTGCCACTGGTCAGCACTCCATTAAATTTCTAGTTTTATATTTTAAAATCTGTATTTTGTATCTCAAACACAGGGGCTATAAGAACTCATTAAGTGCAGTGTCCTGGTTAGTTTTGTCAGCTTGACAGGCCTGGGAAGAGGAAACCTCAGTTGCAGGATTGCCTATATCAGATTGGCCCGGGGGCATTTTCTTTATTGCTAATTGATGTAGAAGGACCTGACTCTTTGTGGGTGGGGCCATCCCTCAGCTGGTGGACCTGGGCTATAGGAGAAAGGGAGCCGAGCAAGCCAGAGGAAGCCAGCCTGTAGGCGATGCTTCTCTTTGGTCTCTACTTCAGTTCTTGCCTGCAGATTTCTGCCCTGGCTTCCCTCAATGATGGACTAAAATAGACTCTTTCCTCCCCAAGTTGCTACTGGTGAGTGTATTACCACAGCAACAGAAAAGCAAACTAGAACAAGCTTATATGATTATTGGAAGGGCTAGAAGAGCAGGCTTTGCATCAAGTCTCTAGCAGTTACTCCCAGAACATCAAAGGGTTCTGACCAAGTAGAAGCTGGTGCGTCTGTTCCATTGGGACTTCAGGAGGATTCCCATCTGCGCCCTTCATAAATCTGGATTCTGCTGCCTTAAATACGACCGAGGCATTAGGAAGCATCCCCAGTAGCTCTGCACCATGAGATTGGTGCTGATGTCTGGATTCTAGAATGCAGAATTAACTTCTGCCTCCGCCTGTGTCTATCTCTGTCTTTCTTGCTGACTTCTCCTGCCTCCCTCAGTGCCCACCATGAGAGGCAGACCCTGGAATTCTGGTGGGTGATCCTCCATATATTTTTGGCTCTATTTGTTAACAAAGACGTGGCTGAAGGTAGGAGGGAGGAAGCTGGTAGTGTCAGATCTGCTACAGCGTAGCTGATGGACTGTTGTTTTCTCAGAGTGCAAAGGTTTGGGTTTTGATATTTGAACTTTCTGTGGATTTTTTCAGTGATTACACTCTCTCGTAGCATGAAAAGTAATTCTGTGACTTTAGAATTGCATAGATGTCTATTTGACAATAGAGATCCAGGTATAGGCAACAGAACATATCCACCGTGGAACTCTGCACAGAACTTTGACAATCCAATTTATTAAGTTTTGAGATGAACAATTCATGGAGAAAGTCATGGGAAAAATGAAAGAAAACTGAAAAGGAAGTAAGTCATGGAGATTACGTGTTCCCTCATTCCCCCTTCTTTAATGATCATGGATCATAGTTTAGGACAGGGAGAGTGTAGCACAGCTTATCTCTAATTGCGGTTATACAATATTTGATTTTCAGCTGTTTATTTAAGTGTCTACTGTGTCCATTTTACAGAGTAGCTTTTGTTAGCTTTTAGTAAATACTTAGCAACTCCAGTTGCTTTCCTGAGGAGAGACCAGGGCTTACTCAAGAACTTGAGAAGGATCCAGAGATAACAGAAAAATTCTGCCTCATTGAGGAAGGAGGGACTTGACTCGGCCTCCAAGTGCTCACGAAACTGAAAGTACTAAAGCGAACAGCCTTTTGAAATGCACTGCCTTGCTAGCCAGCAAGAGCAGCAACAGCAGCAGCAGCAGCACACCAGAACTGCTTGGTGTTGTCTCACGGTTGCTAAGTAGCCCTGAGCAGCCTCTCCCTGTCCCTGTCCTCGGCTTCTGATAACTATGATTCTATCTCAAGGTCTAAGAGATCGGTTTGCTTAGATCCCATGTACGAGTGAACTCGTGTTTTGTCTTTGTGTGCCAGCTCTTTTCAGTTAACTTAATGACCCCCATTTCATCAGTGTTGTTGCAAATGGTTAACTATTTTTTTTTTTTAAATCCAAGACAGGGTTTCTCTGTGTAGCCCTGGTTGTCCTTGAACTCACTCTGTAGATGAGACTGGCCTCCAACTCAAGAGATCCAGCTGCCTCTGCCTCCCAAATGCTGGGATAAAATACTGGCACCACCACTGCCCGCTCTTGAGTTCCTTTATGGCTGAGTAGTATTCCATTGTGCGTATGTGTCATATTCTCTTTAACTACTCAAAATGAATTGAAGACTTAAATTTAAGGTTTATATTTCTTTAATCTGCTGCCATGGCAGTTGTAGCTTTGCGTGTGTGTGTGTGTGTGTGTGTGTGTGTGTGTGTGTGTGTGTGTGTGTTTGTGTGTGTGTGTAGGCATGTACCTATTTGTGTGTGTTTGAAAGGATACATTTAAAACCTGTTTGCTTTTTATTGACGACTTATGTTTGTATTTAACTGTGTGTACACCTGTATGCCCTGAGTGTGGGGTGGGGATGTGCACATGAGTACAGTGGCCAGCAGAGAAGAGAAGGAGTAGTGGGGTGCCCTGGGATGGAGTCTCAGTAGGGAGTGGCCAGTGTGGGTGCTAGGACCTCTGGAGGAGCGGAAAATACTGTGAAGCACTGAGCCATCTCGCTAGGCCCTGCTTTCAGTTTTTAATAAGGTAAAAATAAATCTTTAGTGAGTCTGGGTTTGCTTTCATGACATGTGTCAATGAGTGCAGGTTTTTCATCTGTAACATCTTCAAAAATGCTCATGTAAGAAATGGCAGAGCTCTAGTAGGAAATGTCGAATCACCGATAGAATCAGTGGAGACAGATTAATATAAATACTATGTCTTTACTTAAAATTGTGGTTTTTCTTGCAATGAAACGGATTTCTGTAATTGAAAGTACAGTTAAGAGTAAATTAAATTTGTCTGTGATACCACTATCAAGCAGTAAACAAAATATTGTGATATTTTTCCTGTTGTTATATTTCCATGTGTTTTCTTTACAATATCCAGTATATCCATGTCGACAAGCATTTAAAGGCAATTTTGTATTCTGCTTTACTTCAAAACATTGTTCTAAAGTATTTCTTACAGCATTTATTTGCTTTCAGGTTATGGTTTTATAGTAATATCTTGGTATCTGTGATGGGGTTGCTTCAGACTTCCTATGTTACTGCTCACTGTTGAACAAATGCATCATTTAGATGGTGTATTAATACAAATTATTTTGTAGTAATATTATTGAAAATACGTTTTGGATTCCATTTTTAGTTACTTGGATGTGATTTGTAAAAGAAAACTGTGTCCTGGAGCATGGACTTTTGTTTTCTCTTGTGTCATGTATCGAAGTGCATAGCAGAAAGCTCTGTGGATTATCACCTGCCCTTTACTTTTGTATTGAATCATGGCAGCTCTGCTGATAACCACTACTGATTTATGTCTTGAGTTTCCTTACTTTCTACTTACCAGAACAAGAGATTTTTTTTCTTTCATTTTTTGCTATTTTTTTTTTTTTCTGGGAGATGTATCATTTTACTGGAATACACAATCTCATTTAGTGGAGGAAGCACAGTAAAGAATTGTATCAGTGAATGTAAATCCCAAGAAGAAAGTGTGTGTGTGTGTGTGTTGGTGATGCAGTGTAAGAATGATGGGGTTGGAAACTTATCATTTGAGGCTTTGTTCCATATTTGTGTTCTAAGGGTTGCAGCTGCAGAGCTTAAATAACAACTTCCTGAGTCCAGGGTGTGTCTGCAGAATAGCCAGACCAGTGGGCTTGAGGTGGGTGGTGCCAAGAGTTCAGACCCAGGGATGCGTGGCGGTTAAGAGCATTCCAGAGGTCCTGAGTTCAATTCTCAACAACCACATTTGGATCTGATGCCGTCTTCTGGCATGTGGTGTATATGCAGATAGAGCACTGTATACATGAAGTAAATAAATATGAAAACAAAAAGAAAAAGAAAAAGTTCAGACCTACAGGCAGGTAGAGAAGGAACACAGTGGCAAAGAGTCTGTCCTTTACTGAAAACAAGAGAAAAACTGCTGAACTTTTCCGAGGTGAAAGAGAAGACTTGTGTGACTCAGCAGGCCACCTCTTCTGATGAGAGGAACAGATTGACGAAGTCTGGAGTGATTGCTGTGTGGTCCTTTAGAATATGGGTTTTCATGATCAAGGGAGGAGATGATGGTGTCAGAACAGGAGAGGTGGCCAGGAGAGCCTGGACCACATTATGCTGATAGAATTTGTAGGCAGATTGCACATAAACATGAGAGAGGAACATAGGATATAAGGCACCACAAGTTTACATGTAAATGACAGGTTAAATGTTTAAATTTGCTTCAATCCTTACAGAGTAAAAATGCATTATGCCTGCTCTAACTTATATTCTGATGTGGAGGTAGACTAGCCCTTTCTCAGAAGCTTTGATGTTGTTGCTTATTTTTGCTCTTCTGCAGGACCAGCCTCCCAGCTCCCAAATAAATCATATACGGAGGCTTATTCTTAATTATAAATGCCTGGTGTTAGCTTGGCTTGTTTCTTGCCAGCTTTTCTTAACCTAAATTAGCCCATCTACCTTTTGCCTCTGGGCTTTTACCTTTTTCTATATATGTATACGTTTCTTTCTTACTCCGTGGTAGCTGGCTGTGTGGCTGGGTAGCTGGCCTCTGATGTTCTCCTCCTTGTTCTCTTGCTCATTCTTTTTTCCTCCCTGATTTCTCCTCCAGTATATTCTCTCTGCCTGCCAGCCCTGCCTATCCTTTCTCCTGACTTGCTGTTGGCTGTTCAGCTCTTTATTAGACCATCAGGTGTTATAGACAGGCAAAGCAACTCAGCTTCACAGAGTTAAATAAATGCAACATAAACAAAAGTAACACACCTTAAAATAATATTCCACAACACATTGGTGACCGTTTTAGTAATCACTTATTAAAGCATATAGCCTTTTTGTTTTTGTAATGTTATCTGAGGGCTTAATTAAGTTTTGTGCTAGGGTTGAAAAACTGACTGCTGAAACAGGGATTCTGCAAAGGGACTTGGAGTGTAAAACTCCAGGAAGATCTGGAACAGCTGCTGCTGGTCCCTGACCCTGTGAGTTTGGGACACAGCATTCTGCAGAACTTTAGTTTTAGTACTGAGAAATTATGTTCCCTGGAAGCTCTTACAGTCACAGCAAGGGAAATGGAAATAAGCGTGGGAGGCTGGCTCCAGGGCTCTAAGATCACTGCTGAGGTTCCCCTGAGTCAGCTGAGGTCTGTTCCGACGTGATAAGCATATTTGATTTGATGCCATTAGATTATCGAGTTCACTGGCTGACAGTGTGTGATAAGCATATTTGATGTGATGCACCGTTAGCAAGCCCGCTGGCTGACACTCCTCCCTCATACTCTGTTACAGTAAAGTAATTAGAAGCTTTATTTTGAATTTATCTTTTTATTTATTTCTTATCTATTACAAATTAAATTTGTTTAAAGGCAGGCATTGCTTTGTATGTTTCAGCTTGCTTAAGGGAGGCCCTGGGCATTTATGTCCCCTAAAAGTGCTTTCCTCTTACCCCGCTGTCCCTTTAGTTCTTGGGGGTTGCTTTGCAGTCCCTGATGATCATTTCTACTAAACGTGTAGCCCATGCAATTTTAGAAGGGTGTTTAGAGGTGATGTTGCTAAGTGTTAGTCTTAACTTTCAGTAAGGGACAAAAGGGAGGAATAGCTAGAAAAGAGACTGAAAGGAAGTGAGAAGAAGAGAAAGAATAGCTCTGAGAGGCACCAGTGGAGCATGGATGAAAGCAGCTGGACAGTGAACTTGACACCAGGCAGCTTTGCTAATAGACAAGGGACTTTATTGCATTACATAATTTTCTACTTAGTGAAGAAGGGAAGACTGTTTTTCTTCATGCTCCTCCCCCTCAGTGGCTGTGATAAAACACTCTGATAAGAGCAGCTTAGGGAAAAAAGTTTTATCCAGTTACAGTTCCTTTGGTGGAGATACTAGCTTGAGGGCCTGGTCACGTTGTGTTCA